GACTAGTCAATACAATTAGACAGAAGTTTGCTTGTAGTTCTTCGTATCCAAGACCTTCTTGCCACACATTGAGCAGATGCCTATAAGCACACAAAAGGTGTGTAAATTACTTTTAAATCATTAAGTTTTTCTTCAAAAACATAGTTGCTATGTTTTTGTAAAGATCATTTTAAAAAAATTGTTTAAATGAGCTCTCATTGACAATCTATCTGTGCATTTTCTCACCAGATATTGCAAATTCAGAAGTAATAATGACTTCTAATACAAATTAGTATTTGCAGCATATGTGTAATACTGCCACTTAAAAAAATAAGCTCTATTTCGAGAGCATTACGATTCACAACACTGCCCAAAGCCTCTGTAATTTGCTGGAATACTGGAAGAGAGCCAGGAAAGGCTCCCATCTGGCAAACAGGTAAAAATGGTGTATTATTAAACTTTGTAAGTCCTGTAGCCAAACCAAGGCCTGAGACAGACAGAAAGTAGCTATGCTAAGAAAATATAGTCACCAACAAACTGACTGCTAAATGGAAGATTAAGAGGTGGGAAGCTTCAGACAATTGAAAAAGTTGAGAAGAATACGATTTCATAGAATTAAGCTATTTATAGAGTAGCAGAAGTGAGAAACAATGGACACCAAGAATACTTGAGAGCTGAAGATGACCACTGATGTCCCGGAGGACTTTGACCAAAGAGTGGCAAGTCAGAAGATCAGAGCAGCAAAAAGTACACAAGTTCGGCAGGGGCAGAGGGGCAGGTTGTCTCCATGTCTCCCTCTTCTTCTAAAGCAGAAATGTGCTAAATCTTTTGTCTGGTAGGGTCACATCTCATTTTACAAGACCATTCATCAGCAGACAAAAAATGTCAAGTGGCAGCTATTCCTGTTAACTCTCTCCAAATCACGTGTTTTCGTATATTGACATCATGTGACTGGACACGTATCTAAAAGTCCATTAGGAAAGAGAACAGCAGGGAACACGCCACAGGATTTACACTGGAGAGCAAAATCCAGCCCACAGGGCATTCACTTCAGGTCTAAATTGAGGAGTAATTAACTTTAGATTGCCTCTCAATTTCACAGATATGCAACAGTTGAAGGTCTAAGCCATATGACTGCTTTTGCTTCAGGAAACATGCCACAACCACGTCTTTGATGGTCAGAACTAGAACCTAAAGCACTTAGAGTTCTGAATTTTATGAAGAAAACAGATTCAACCTGGTAGGATACCCAAGCAGGCAAAGATGAAATCCTGAAGCCCACCCAAACCAGCCATAAGTTTAAGAAAGAGAACAAGATTCTACCATATGGGATTCAGGCAGCCATCTGGTGAGCATCTAGCAACGAGAAAAGGCAACCCTCCTACAGCAGGCTGCTAAACCACTGACTCAGTGACACAGTACACATTAATAGAACAATTAAAGTAATTTCATAAACAAAACTTACTACTGGTTAGCTGTAGCTCTATATCTAACAATTGGTTCACCCCATGTCTGTATGCTGTGTGGACTCCTCGGTATTAGTAATGTAACTGAGTTCATGTTGCTTTTTTTCCCCTCCAGGAATTACAAGTTTGAGCCCTTTTGCTTACCTACGCAAAATCACAAGACTAGTAAAAGTTTTATGTCCTTAAGGCTCTCCATCAAATTTGCTTGACATTGATTTTTTTTTTTTCCCCCCTTGGGAATTTTTGAACAGTTTTTAACAATACTGAAGATGACTTATGAACATAGCAGATAGAAAGCTTGCAGGTATAAGCAGAATTTCAGTACAGTCATTCACACGTAACTCATAAGTACGGAAAGATTTCATATATTATGTACTGCACAGTGCAATATCTTGCTTTCTAGGGATGACAATTATATTTTCTTTATCATTTTTCAGTTTCACCTTAAGCCAAGCTTGACTTATAATGCATCAAGTGTGTTCACAACTGGACCAGAGACTCCTTTTACAGAAATGAACCTTTCAATCGCTTATGTTAAGCCACTGAATGCATAAGAATACACACAGGCACAAAGACAACCGTGAGCATGATTTGCCTTCAGAGACACTTTCTTAAATGCTTTTACAGCTTATTTTATTTGCTTCTCTTTGCCTTTTATTCCCCGGCTTTTATTAAGCTAGCCTATTGCTTTACCAAGATCAGAAGCTGGATTTTTGGTTGTTTTGTGGGTTTTTTTTGGGGGGTAGATAGGTCTGGGGTGTTAGGTTTTTGGTTTGGGGGGGGGTGTGTTTGTTTTGTAGGCGGTTTTGGTTTTTTGAGACCACTATTTAGTAAAAAGGGGAGGAGAGAGAAGGGAGCAGAAAAGGGACTGCAACAAGCAATTGAGTTTTACAAAATCTATTTTTTTTTTAAACTAAGAAATATCAAACTTGCTAGATGACAGTTTTCTATGCAATTGCCAAGATTAAGCTTACAGTTATTCTTCCAATTCTACTGCTTTAGGTACCAGAAACATTCTAAAAGAAGCAGAATCATAGAATGACTTAAGTTGGAAAGGATCTCCAGCAGTCTCTAGTCCTGCCCCTATCCCACTCAAAACATGGCCAACTCAGATGAGGCTGGCTCAGGTCTTTTCAAGTCAAGCTCTGAATACCTCCTGCAGTGATTTCACAACCTGCGTGGGTCCCTGTTATTACAATATTTGACCACCCTCACAGTGAAAATTGCTTTCCTTGTACGTAATTAGAATTTTCCACATTCTAGCCTATGTACGTTGTCTCTTATTCTATTCCTGTGTGCCTCAGAAGAGTCTGACTCCATCTCCTCTATGCCCTCCTATCAGTAGTTGAAGATAGCAATTAAATCTCATCTTAGCCTTCTCTTCGTAAGGCGAAACAAACTCAAGAGTTCCACTTGCTCTCTAATTTCAAACCAAACTGCGGTAATTTGGTGCTCAGTGAAACTCACCTTTTTTATAGGCACATCCTTGACAATAGTGAGACCCTGGCTGATGGACAGAACTCTTACAAATCCGACATATTGCAAATTTGTTCTTTCCATATGGATCAAACCTGAGAAAAAGGAAAAGTATTTTATTTATACAACTTGAAATGAACTATTTCCTCTGCCTCATCATAAAAACTCTAAGCCAGAGGGCACAGACAGAAACTCCAGCAAAAACTATAATTTAGAAAAGGGACATATAAGGGTTATTTGTAATAGGCTGAACAAAGTCTACAGAAAAAATCCCACTTTCCCCATTAAGAGAGATTTCTTGTATTATGGACAAAAACTTAACACAAGAAGAACTAAAAACGCGTCTTTTTCTTAAGATACTAGACCGTTTTGAACTTAAACACCTTACAACAGTGTCTTGCCCCCTTGCATAACAGAACATCTCCCAGACATTAAGAAAACGCTCAACAGATTGTACCGGCAAAATAAGCCTTCCTGGCTCCTCTCCTAACAAGAGCATCAAACCCTAGCAATTTCGGTGAGAACTGCAGAAAAATAGTTGCCCAGGCTCTTTGATTCAGCAGAAAGCACCCATGAAATACGTACAGATATACTTTTAGCAACTAAGCGAATGTCATAATCCCCACAATTATTTTTTTTTAAAGTGTATTTTGGACAATTTTTGATATGCAGGAAACAGCCCTCAGTTACAGCAAACTGACTTTTTTAGCCAAAATCAGTATTAAATACTAACCTTGCCTTCTTTGAGGTCAATGCCTTGTTTTCATTTAACTTGCGGCCACCACTTTCTACAAAAAGAATGAAACCATAAACCAGTAAATTTCCCAGTTCCAAGCATGCTTTAAAAAGCTTAGTTTACAGCTTTTATACATGTGCAAATAAAGTCACAAAGAGAGACAAAACGTATAGCACAGCAGTAAAGCACAGGGCAACGGTGTACTTCGTATTGTGCTCTGTTTGCGTATTGTCATTCCATACAATGAGGAAAAAAACCCCAGACAAGTTCAATACTGAAGAGCTCAGGGTCAATAAATTCCCAATGCATTAAATTAGCATGGGAGGGAAACTACAGGAGTTAAAAATTAACGCGATATTTCAAATTTTAGCCTTAAGACCATAAGATAGCTCAGCTGCCCAACCGGCTTTAAGATACCTGAAAAACAAGCGTCAAACCACCCCAAGATTACCTGTAGTGTTTCTTGCACCATCTTTCCACGTATCGGGAGTGATAACCGTGCCGAGTTTCTTCTCACCTACGTAAGGAAACACGGCAAAGGAAAAAAAATTAAAACGCCGCCGCCCTCATACTCGCAACAAGCGCTGCCTGCGGCAGAATGACAGCTCACAGACGGACGTTCCCGGAACCGCCACCCACAGCCCGCCCTATACAGCCCGGGACCCGCAGCTGCTGCTGCTGCCTCTGCTGCTCTCCCTGGCGGGGGGCGGCC